CTTAATATTTAGATGGGTATATATTTTGGTACTTTTTATGCTTTCTAATTGCCTCCAGGTAGATGTGATCAGAAGATGGGCTTCCCTTTTCACTCTTCTTCCTGAGAAGTTTCAAGATACCACTGTTGGTTGTTTTGACATAACTTAGGATTTAATTTTTGGTCTGTTTCCTCTTTTGTCTGCTTGTCCCGCTCCACAATCCCCACTCAGGCCTTTTTTCTAGTTGGAAACAGTTCAGGGCCGGCTGTGGCCGTTTGGTTTTAATTGGAAACTGTCTCTTTAAATTTTGAGGAGATATGTGCATGCGTAATAGAACACTCTGAGGGTGGGGCTGGGGTGCCCACTAGCTCAGGCACCCCTATAGTCACCCGAATCGAGGTGCACAGATAGCAAGGGACCAACGAACAGATACCAAAAGAAAAGAATGTCCACACCTTTATCTCAGTGGTTCTGCCAGGCGTCTGTGGCCGCTCAGATCCTTCCCCCGCATGATCTCTCCCAAGATGGCTGCTCCTGGAGCAGGTGAACGTCCTGGACTAGAAAGCAATAGATTTCTTGCTTCTGCCACAAATTCCCCCAGCTGTGAGCCTTCCAACCTTATAAATATTCCTTTATATGTGGTTCAGAGTTCTGGGACCAGTCCTTGAGCCTGCTTGGTCGGGTATTCTGTGTTGTTGTTGGCGGAGCTCCTTTACTGCACTTCTACCCGATCCGCCATCTTGTTTGTTCTCCAGACCCCATGTCTTTTGGGTAGCATGGTGTAGTAGATGAGGTGCAGGGGTAGGTAGACAATGCCAGTTCATGTGGGACGTTGTAGACCATGGCAAAAGATTTGCACGTTTTTCTAAAAATACTTCTGCTGTTAGGTGCCGTCAAGTTGGTTCTGACTCATCGAGCCCCTATGCACAGCAGAATGAAACTCTGCTCGGTCCTGAGCCATCCTCACAATTGCTATGTTTGAGAGGATATAGTTAAAAGGTATTGAGCGTGAGAGTGATAGGATCAGATTTCTATGGTTGAAAATAGATTGTGTTTTCAGTGTGGTGCTGAACCAAATTTTGTGATATCTGGTTCTGTAAGGCTAAATAAGGCACAGGGGCATTCCTTCCAGTTTGTGAAACAGAAAACTGAATTCATTATTTCGCCTTTGTCATCTCCCTAGTCTTTCCACTCCTGAAAAGAGGGCACGTGGCAGAATCAGAACGGTGTGGCGTTCTGCGGAAGCACAAAGTTGCTGGTGACAGACTTAATTGTTTAACAGATAAGTGAATGCAGCATACACACATCCTCAAGGGTGTATTCCCAAGAGTGAAATGAAAGTTGTAAGTTTATCTCCTTATTCAGGGCCTTGTCTGTAATGCCCAGTAAATGTTTCTTGAATAAATTTAATTTAATTACGCACACACACAAGACCTCATCTTTGAATCCTATTTCTGAGACCACTTCATAAACTTTGCAGGGCTTTAGTTCCTGTTGTAAATTAGTAGGCACAGCCTTTGTCATTAAGCTTATGATTTATCTAATTCAGTCATTTTCCAATAAACACTTACTGGAAATTATGTCAGTCACTGTCCTGAACCCTGAGAGCTCCAAAGAATTCTTGCCTTAAACAGAAGCAAATTTACAACAAAGTGAGGGATAAGTCCTAAAATATAGTTCTCGGAAACCATTTAAAAAGTGAACTTGGGCATGGGGGAAAGAGGACTGCTTCGCAAAAAGGGCAACCCTCAAGCTTAGTCTATAAACAGTTAAATGAGAGTTTGTCAGACAGAAAAAGGGAAGGGACAACAAAGGAATAGAAATATTGATTATTCACAGCAAGGACTGTGCTGAGATCTGTGTGGGAGAGTAGTGGGAAAGGGGGTCATTGCTAGCTTGGGAAGTGTCATTATTAAGACATTTGGACTAGATAGAATCGCCAAAGGATTTTCAGTGATTAATACGTTCTGGTTTTTATTTTAGAAGGTAAGTGCTTGTGGCCAGGTAGAGGTTGAGAGGGGCATCAGAGTCTGGATACAGGTATCCTGCTGTTAGGAGTCTGAAATCTTAGTAGGTCCTAAATCCAAGAGGTGGTTCTGAGGGAGTAATGAATCAGACTGGACATGGAGGGTAAAGAAAACAGATCCAAGGATGTCTATGTTTTCTTACTTGGTTGAGTGAGTGCTGACCTTTAATAAGAAATTTAAGACCAGAAGCGGACTTGTTTGGCTTATAGATAAGAACATCAAGGGAGTAGGACAGAAATAATGCTTGTCTATTCTATACTGGTAGCATAGTGGTTACGAATTGAGCTGGGAACCACAAAGTCAGCAGTTCGAAACTCCAGCTGTTCTGCGGGAGAAAGATGAGGCTTTCTGCTCCCATAAAGATTTACAGCCTCGGAAACCCTGTACAGGGTCGTTATGAGTCAGAACCGACTCCACGGCACATAATAACAACCACATTTTATCTTGGTAAGACATTTCTTTTTTGGCAGGTTAAAAAGAACACTTAAGAACATTATTGGAGTTGAGAGGTAGTATATATTAACAGCGAGGACTCTGGAGCCAGACTGCCCAGATTCACATGCTAAATGGGGATAAATCATAGCATCTAATTCATAGGATTCTTGTGAGAATCAAATTCATTAATACATGTAAACCCGTAGAATATTGAGTGACAATAGTAAAACCTGTTGTGAAGTACATCGAGTCGGGTCCAACCCATAGCGATCCTGTATAGGGTTTCTGAGGAGCAATTGGTAATCTTGAACTTGATGTTTAAGCAACTTTGCAGTCCAGTGCATTAACCCAGAGTGGGGAATTAGATATTTTATGTAAATGGAAAGTAAGAATACTAGGTCTGTATACAACTACTCTTACCCTTCAGCCTCACCACCCTCCTGCTGAGTGGGAAACTGCATTCACCAGCCACTGAGCTACAATATAAGGTCTATAGCTCATCTGGTGTTTTTGTTGTTTTATTTTTCTGTGTCTTGCCAAAAACATTTACAGTCTCAAAAACCCTATACGGCATCGCTATGAGTCAGAACCAACTCCATGATACTTAAACAACAACAAGAAGCATGTAGAAAAGGAATCCTGGTAGCATAGTGGGTTACACTTTGAGTTGCTAACCACAAGGTCAGCACTTTGAATCTACAAGCCACTCTGCAGGAAAAAGATGAGGCTTTTTGCTCCTGTAAAGATTTGTAGCCTCAGAAACCCTATACATGGTTGCTGTAAGTTGGAACTGTCTGGACAGCACACAACAACAGGCACTCCGAAAAATAGCCCTCGTGGTGTAGTAGGGATAAATAGTGAACTGCAAACCACAAAGTCGGTGATTCAAACCTCCCAGCCACTCCTTCAGCGAAAAATCAGGCTGTCTGCTCCTATAAAGGTTCACAGTCTGGGAAACCCTATGGGGCAGGTCTACTATGTCCTATAGGGTCACTGTAAGTCAATTGACTCGATGACAGCGGATTTAGTTTGATTTTAGGCACCTAAAACAGTGCCTAGCATGTCATGTTGTTAAGTGCTGTCGTTGGTTCTGACCCATAGTGACCCTGTATAGGGTTTCAGAGTGACTGGTGAGCTTGAACCACCGACCTTGCAGTTCATACCGACTTTGCAATCCAGCACATTAACCCACAGGGTCACACCAGGGCTCCATAGCATGTCATAGAAGTTCCATAAGTATTTGAAGGATTGATTGTATAAATACTGTGAACTGTTGGGAAGAAAAAATTAATTACTTTTGTTAAGTGTATGTTGTTAAGTGCCATCGAGTTGATTCCGACCCATAGCCACCCGTACATGGTTTCCAAGGTGTAGCTGGTAGGTTTGAACCTCCGACCTTTAAGGTTTGTAGTCCAGTGCTGATTCTACAACGCCACACCAGGACTCCACAGCCTTGTATGAAGCAGTTCTGCTCTGTCCTTTAGGGTAGCTGTTAGCTGGAATTACACTGCAGTGGGTTTTGGGTAATGGACCAAGGCCAGTCCTTGTCCCCTTGGTTGAACATGAAGGTGCCTCCCTCTAGCTTTCAGAGCTTGCTGCTTCCGTTTGGTCCAGAAGATAGTGCCACCTCCACACTCTTTTCCAAATCAGACTTTGCATTTCAGAAGGAGTCCCTCCCTGACTGGTTGAGAAAAGTGTGGGCTTGTGGGGACAGAGAGGGGTTTGAAGTGGCTTGTTCTGGTTTCTGGTGCCCATTCTACCCAGTATGCGTTTGAGCTTTTTTTGTGTGTAGTTCATTTATTTACCTTACTACTTTAAATGGAAACTCTATATATATAATCTAAATGATAAAACAAAAAGACAATAAAGGCAAAATAACAATTATATGTTTTTGCTTTGAAACTGAGTCTGTTTTTTTGTTACAATGAAAGATTAGTAAATTTCAGGTATTAAAGACAGAGAAGCACCGAAATGGAGTCCTGGTGTGGCCCTGTAGGTTCAACACTGGACTGCTAACTGCAAGGCCAGCACTTCAAACCCATCAACTGCTCCTTGGAAAGCCTACACAGGGTTGCTGTGTGTTGGAACCAGTTTGATGGCACTTAGCAGCAGCACTAAAATAATGAAATAGGAAAGCTTGAAAGGGGACTGAGTCTCGCTGAGATTTGCTGGTGTTTCTGTCATCTCCCATACCATCGCCAGTGTGAAAGACACTGTGTCCCTAGTGAGCAGAGTGCTGGCTTGGATTGTGTCTTTTAGAAAAGCAGTGGATGAGGATTAATAGAGAGATGATGTGCAGTGGGGTCAAGGACAGAGAACTAGTATTAGTAAACCTTTTAATTGATAAAGTATACCTTTTGTGAGGGGGTGAACCAGGTGGGGGGGGGGGACAAAATTGAGAAATATTAGATTGGACCTGTGGTATTTCTTAATAAGGTGCTATTTTCGGCTTTGGGGGCCAGATCATTGCCATACAAGGCTGTCCCAGGCTTTGAAATCCTTGTTCCCTGGGTATTCAACACTAGTGTTAATTTCCCTCCTCCCCCGAGTCATTAGAATAGCAAGTCCACATTTCTAAATATCTTTTGTTGTTAGTTACCAACATGTGCAGAGTAGAACTGCTCCATAGGAGGTTCAAGGTTGTGACATTTTGGAAGCAGATCGATAGACCTGTCTTCTGAGCTGCCTGGGTGGCTTCGAACTACCAGTCTTTCAGGAAGTAGTCAAGCATTTGCAGCATTCAGGGCGCTGGCAGGGTGGTGAGTTCTGCTACTGCTCACCATAAACTGAGGGAATGACCTCCATAACTATATGGAAACAGTAAGGACCATTTGAAACTTGTCTTTTTCCAGAAGAGAAGAAGAAGTTGATCCGACATTTTGATGAGAAGCAACAGGAAGCAAATGAGACGGTGAGAACCAGGAGCAAGTCCTGAGTCCTTGTTTCTTCTGTCAGTGTTGCTCTTTTAGAGAAATAATGCTGTATGTGACCTGATGAACATGGCCTGGGCTTTGACCCTTATTAAGTGAGCCCAGTCAATGGGGTGGGTATCGAGAGGGTTTGACAAGCACAAATGAGTAAAGCTTGAAGATGCTCCAAAAGTGGCCTTTGGTAAAACATACCCCATGTGAGGAAGGATATTCTCATGCCTCTACTTAGGTGGGCTTTTTAAAGTCTTATTTTAAGAATTTATCCTTAAGGTAAATTACAGTTCATTAAACTTAACTGTCATAGGCAATGTGGATCTAGGCACACTCACCTTCTGTCTTAAAAGACCGCACAGTAGCTGGATTTGGTTCTAGGAACAGGAGGAATTCCTAACCAGCCCCCAAAACTTGTTGGAAGTTGCTTCAGGCTGCTGAATACATTAACAACTGCTTCTCTCTTAATCTCTGGCTTTCCTTTTAGAAACAAAAAATGTTATTTTCTAATCCTTTGGAAGCTAGAGTCCATTGCTCCATCTTCTCATGCTTTAGCGTCAGCAGCCCTACTCAGTAGATTGGGACACAAATCCAAGCACCTGCTAGTACTTTGTAGAAATATTTGCCCTTAGTTTTTGCTGCCTCAGGGTAGACGGAGAAGAAAAATTCTTTTTAGGCCAGAGAACTTCCTTTTTACTAGTTGAAGAACTTCTTCCCTACCCCTGTGTATTTCTGAGAAGGGAAGTTGTTTTGCATCTCTTTTAAGAAGGACCAAGCCACCACCAGCCTGTGGGAAAATGTATATGGTTATAAGATTCTGTGGTGGCAGCTGTCCTCCTCTTCTAACTTCTTAAAGGGGATGAATCATCAGCATCGCCCCAAGGCAGATTCCTATGAGGTGGAGGTCAGGCATGCTTCCCTTCTCCGACCTTTTTTTTTTTTTTCTTCTAAAACCGCTTCTGATACTAGCTGTCCCTGCCATGGCACATTCTACTTCTCCACAAGATTTAAAAGTTAGTTGTAATAGCCACACAAAACTCACTGACAACATTCAAGGTTAAGGAAGTGTTGTGTTGTTAAGTGTCATAGTCATTTCTGAATCATAGCGCATTGTATAGGGTTTCTGAGGAGCACCTGGTTAGTTTGAACGGCTGACCTTGTGGTTCAGTGCTTATCCTACAGCAGGACACCAGATTATAAATCTGAATCAAGTTTAGGAAGCATGTAGGCAAAGTCTCTCTCTTCTTCAGTTCAGGACACCTCTCTCAGCTTGGCCCCATCAGGAAAGTGTTTCTTTCCCAGCCCCGAGCCTTTGTCCCTGCTCAGGCCTGGCCTCTGCGTTGCTCAAGCAAGTGTTACAGAGAGGTTTAGCTTCATGAGTAAGTACCCACAGGCACCTCACTCTTCCAGTAGTTCTTGGTCCAAGGCTCTGGCTTTGTGAGTCAACAAGTCTAGCTCCACTAGCAAGTGCCTAGAGGCATCCCACTCACCAGTAAGCCTTCCACTCTAAGGCGCTCGGCTCTTTCACTCTGTGGTTCACCCACTGTAACTGCCACCTCAGTCTCATGGTTCAGCGCTGCTGTTTCTCTGCTGCCGGAGTCCGCTATGCTGGCACTGCTACTCACCATTCTGGTGTTAAGGTCTGATTCCTGGGTCTCAGAGGTTCTTAGTGCAGGCTACCCTAGGTCCCATCTCCTCTTCTTGTTGGTCCCCTCTCCTACTATGGGATTGGCTCATTTTCACCTTAGCAGGATGGCAAAACTGATCAATTCCATTGTTAGGGTTCCCTACACCTTATTTGCATGGTCCCACCCTTGCAGGGTTCCTTGTGCCTTACTGCATCATTAACAAGCTGTCCAGTCACCTTGGTGAGCCACAAGCACCTTATTTGCATAGTTTCACACAGTCATTTTGTATAAGTTACAAAACCATGACAAGGTTGATCATGCACTTGGGCATATGGATGGTACCTGTTATGTATGTAGACAGCCCTCTTTCAGTTAACATCTTGAGAGCCGTCAAGTCAGTTCAACTCATAGCGACCCTGTGTAGGATTTCTGAGGAGCTGCTGGTGAGTTTGAACCACCAACCTTTTGGTTCAGTCTGACCTTTCAGTCCAGTGCTTATCCTATACCTTAGTTTTTTGTTTTTTATTTTAATGTTTTATTGTGAATTGAGTGAAGGTTCACAGAATAGATAACAGTCCCACGTTGAACAAATACATTTTGTGTCATTACAATTATGCCTAAAAACCTTTCAGCTAATTCCCGTTTGGTGCTGATTCTTTGTTTCTGTGAACTAGGCAAAATTAACCAATCCTAATCATGGTGTGGCGCTGTTTGAGTTAATGCGCCAGCCTGCAAAGCCGTTTGAACTACAAGGTTGGTGGTTCAAGCTCACCAGTTGCTCCTTGGAAACCCTATACAGGGTCGCTATGGGTCGGAACCAACTCGACGGCACTTAGCAACAACCCTGGCTGTCTGGTGTCATGGGGTGGCACTGTAGGATAAGCACTGGACTGCTAACCACAAGGTCAGAGGTTCAAACCAACCGATCACTTCTCAGAAACCCTATACAGGGTCACTGTGAGTCAAAACCAACTCAGTGGCACTGACAGCAACAACCCTGGCCATCCATGCCAATGAACATAATTTAGGATCTCTAATTTGGACATATCGTCAGGAGGAACCAGTCGCTAGAGAAGGATATCATGTTTGGTAAGGTGGAGGATCAGAGAAAAAGAGGATGCCTTCCCCCCCCCAAATGAGATGGATTGGCAAAGTGGCAGCATCGATGGACTCAAGTGTGGCAACAGTAGTGAGGTTGGCTGAACATCGGGCAGTGTTTAGTTCTGCTGTGCAGAGGGTCGCTATGAGTCGGTTCCGACTCGATGGTACCTGACAACAACAATGAGAAAATGCATATAAAACTATCTGTAAAATTTAAGGTACTTGTTTTTTCATATATTCATTCACCGCATGTGTTAATATCTGCTTTTAAGTTTGCCGGCTACTTAGAATAGTGAACATGTCAGATGTGACCCCTGCCCTCATGGAGCTTGATCATTTGGACTAGTCTTTGTTTGATGAGTCCAAACAAGGCATGTGCCCAGGTGAGAGGAGAGCCAGGCTAGTCTGCTCACTGTGTTCTGCTTTCCCAGTTGGCAGAGATGGAGGAGGAACTACGTTATGCACCCCTGTCTTTCCGTAACCCCATGATGTCCAAACTGCGAAGCTACCGGAAAGATCTTGCCAAACTGCATCGGGAAGTTAGAAGCACACCTTTGACAACTGCACCTGGGGGCCGGGGAGACATGAAATACAGCACGTATGCGGTGGAGAATGAGCACATGGTAAGTTTTCCCTGTTCCCCTCTAGGGCCTATGTATGGAGCCATGGTTGCACAGTGGGTTAGTCGTTGGGCAGCTGACCATAAGGTCGGCAGTCTGAATCCACCAGCATCTAGCAAAAGGAGGAGTCCGTTTGCTTCTTTAAAGATTTATAGCCTCAGAAACTCTGTGGAGCAGTTCTTTAGGGTTGTTATAAGTTTGAAAGGACTTGATGACAGTGGATTTTGTTGATTTTTAGGACCTACAGTACAAGAATTAACCATATTATAGATATTGTGTTATCAGTTCATACTAAGCAATTATTTTGTTTTTCTCCCTTAGCCTCCTTCCTGTATTCCATCTCCCTTAGGACACTCACTCTGTTGTATTTAATGCTTGGATTTCCAAACCATATGCTTAGATTTCTTGGTATTCTTTAAAAGTATGTGTGTGTGTATATATATTTATAAAACTGCTTTGTATAAAGTGTTATATAATTGCCACTTATTGTATCTGGGCTCTTTATTGACCCATTTGTCCCAATTTTCTTTTCTTCTTGGGCTTTTATTGCATAATAAATTTTATAATCAGTTTCTCATGTTTGCCTCAAAAATTCAGTTAGGTTTTTTATTGGAAATGCAATAAACATGTAGAATAATCTGGTCAGGAGTTATATCCTTACCATTTTAAATTGTTCCATTCATGAATATGCTATGGCTCACCATTTATTCAATTCTCTTATGTTGCCTCTTAATAAATGTTTAAAATTTTTCTCTTTGAAGATCTTTGTATACTCTTGTTAATTTCTAGACGTTTTATAATTTTGATTTTAAGTAGCAATATATTGTATATTACAACTGCATGTATTCTTATCAATCTCTGTTACAGCCAGTGCTTTTTAACTTCCGAGTGTTGAGCTATCCAAGCAAATTTACTGAACTTAGTAGTTCTAAAAATATGTTGGCTGTGTGGATTTTCTGTTGTCTACTCTTTAGCACCTTTGTAACAGGAAGTGGCCTACAGGAGTCTTAACCTTAGAATGCTTCCCCCTTCACATGCTAGGCTCTCTGCAAGGCACTTGGACTAATAAGTTTCCTGGCCTTGTGAAGCTTATAGCATGTTCCCATTGAGAGAAAAGCATACCTACTGCTCACTTCTGTCTACCTTCGCAATGACACAAGATTCCTGTAACCTGGACTTGAGACTTATTTGTGTTGTTACAAAATTAATCCAATCCTTATATTTATGAAGGGAAATATAGTATTGCTACAAAATCATAGAAACCTTTGCTAAGCAACAATATGAAAATTTGAAGCTATGGTTTCTCAACATCCTCCATCTAAGTGTTTTTACTTCTGAAGGCAGTTGTTTCCATCCCCAGAGAATTCTGTGCTCTTTGATTTATACCACGTTCAAAATAGCAGTTGGGGCAGGGCGTCTCTGAAGGACTCCAGTCCTGGTCCTTTTCAATGTTCTTTGAATTTAGGGAACAAAAATAAGTCTGACAGGAGCAAGATTAGGGTTGAAGGGTGTGTAATGGGGAAAAGTTTCCCAATGAAATTCTCCTTGGACAACTCCTGTTACCCTCGAACAATGAGCAGATGCATTGCCGTGATGGAAAAAAAAAAAAGAAAACCTTGGTGCAACGTTGCGTTTCTGGTCTTACCATTTTCAGTTTTCTGGAAACATATCTTTATAAAGCCCCATGATCATCCTGTGTCCTTCATGAACATTTATCAAGATTATCCCTTTGGAATCCAAAAAATCAGTCACCATCACTTTCTGAGCTGGTCTCTGCCTTGATTGTAACTGGCCCAGCAGATCCCTCAGAATCTACTGTTTTGATTGGGCATGAGGAAACTAAAACAGGTGCATTACTGAGAAGAGTATGGCAGAAACATGTTTAAACACGTTTTAAACTCATGAATGTATAAGCTACAACCCTAAAAACATATTTTTAAAATTAACCTCATATGTTGGTGTCTTGGTGTGGTGCTGTAGGATAAGCACTGGACTACCGTGAAGTCAACAGTTCAGACCCACTAGTTGCTCCTCGGAAAGTACCTTTGACTCGGAGGTACTTACAAGATGTTTCTGGCTGAACAACCTAGAAAATGCAGGCTGCTTCATGTGTAGAAGGAGATGTTTTGTTGCAGTGAAAATTGAGCCAGGTTTCTCTCTAGCCTTCAATATTCTGATTTCTAAAACTGGACTAACTGATCAAAAATTTGTATCCTGAAATCATCTAGAGAAGCTAGATAGTTAAAGGAATAAAATAAAATCCTATGACAATTATAACATGAATTATATTCCATAGTGCAAACTAGAAATGGTCTGGCAAGTAGCATGGAAGAGGGCCATGAATACAGACTGAGTTGTTGTTAAGTGCCACGGAGTCGATTCCGACCCATAGCGACCCTGTATAGGGTTTCCAAGGAGCAGTGAGCTTGAACCGCCAACCTTACAGTTCAAATGGCTTTGCAGTCTGGCACGTTAACCCACAGCACCACACCAGGACTCGGGTATGCATTAGTAATTACCGTTTTAAACAAATCCTATTTCACAATGCATCCTGATTCTGAATATTTAAGGAATATTCAGAATGGTAATTAGCTCAGCATTACTTATGTCACATTAAAATGAGGAATAATGGAAGTTTTTCAAAGGACTCACAGCATAGTGTTACAGATCAGAAGCTGAGGTGATTTGTGAAAGAGAAGCATGGTTTGTAGAAGAAACTTGGAAAAACAGGTAAGGGGTTTTTCAGGGGGGTGGGTGAATAGGAGTAGGGCTAAGTGTTTAAGAGTAAGGGTTGAGCTGTGATATGAGTAGCTTGTTGTTCTTTTCCTTGAATCTGTTTGATTTCCTCTTCATTTGAAAGCTCTTTAGCTACTTTATTCCCTCATTTTTACTTTATGGGTTTTTTGTTGTTGCAACTGTGTCTCTGATTCTCTATTTTCAGTCTTAACAGGTCTGTTTTACCTTGAATACTTTTACCTCTGGTTTGAGTGTAGGTGATATTGTCATGTGTGTTAGTCACAGGTGACTTTGTCTGCCATTGTTGATTTTTCCAAAGAACTCCCTTTCATATTTGGTCTGGGTTTTTACAAATTCTTTTAATTTCTGTTTCTCTGAAAATTACCTAATTTTGCTCCTATTGGATGGACAGTTTTACTGAATATGTGATTATTAGTTGGCAGTTGTTTTTTTCTCACTGTTTTATATATGTCACTCCATTGTCTTCTTGTCTGCATGGTTTCTGCTGAGAAATCAGAGCCTAAGTCTTACTAGTTCTCCTTTGTAGGTAACCTTTTGTTTTTCCTGAGTTGCTCTCAGGATTCTTTCCTTGTCTTTGGTTTTGAAAAGTTTGATTGTCTTGGTGTTTTTCTTTTGAAGTATGTCCTGTTTGGAGTTCATTCAACTTCTTGAATGGCTATCTTCTCATCTTTCATGATGTTAGGGAAATTTTCTTCCAACAACTCTTAGTATTCTCTGTGGGCTTTTTTGTCTCCTGTTCTGGAATTCTAGTCATATGTAAGTTATGCCTCTTCATAGTGTCTCACATAAATCTTAAGCTTTCTTTGGCTTTTCTTGTTCATTTTTCTCATTATTCCTGTAACAGAAGAATATTGAGAGACTTTTCTTCAAGCTGAGTAATTCAACTTTCCATTGATTCAGTTCTATTTCTTTACCTATTCAGTGTATTATTTATTTCTTAAGCCTTAGTGTTAATCTTTTGACTTTCTAATTGCTGATTTTGCATGGTTTCCATTTTTTTTTTCCCCCAATTTTTTTGTCAGGTTTTTTCCATAGTTTTGTCTGTTTTCTGTGATTTCATCTGTAGTTTTCTTAATTTTTCTCTCATTGCCTAATTAGCATTCTTTTAAGTTCCTTGTCAGGCAATTCCAATACCATTTTGCGTGTTATATTTTCTGACTCTGTATTTTGATCACTTGTTTGCAGCAGTTTGTCTTGTTTCTTTGTGTGTGAATTGAGTGAAGTTTTACAGAGCAGATCATCAGCTTTACATTCAACAAATCATATACTTTGCATCATTACATGGTTGCAATCCCCTCCATGCACCAACAGTTAGCAGCATTTACCTCTATTCACTTTCACCACTTGCATTCCTCCCTGTGTCTCCCGCCACCCCCATCTTTTCTCTGCCAGCCTCTCTCTGGTTGTATATTGCGCCCCATCACCCATGTCAACACATGTCTTGTTTCTTTATGTAGGAAACAAATTGTCTGTTGTTTCTGAGACATTGTACTGCTGTGTTTATATTTAATTGATGGTTATACACTAAGGCACTCACCACCTGTGTCCTGGTGGATGTGGTAGAGATCTGAAGTGTGAATGCAGTTAATTCTCTGTTGACTGGGTAGCATAGTTCAAGGTGGGCTTATGCGCCTCGCGAATCAGGGGCCTGGCACCTGACCCCAGGCAGAACAGAGGTGGCACAGGAGGGAGTGCCACTGGCAACTGGGTTGGCAAGCGTGGGGTGGGGACTGGCTACACCCCCATTTACCAGGAGGGCATGGGAACAAGGAAGAACTGCACTCCCTTGCCACCAACGTCCTGCTTTGTCCTGTGCGCAGGCCCCTGTATCCACAGCTGCTTACATACAGGAGCTCGAGATGCCTGTGCTGCCTGCTCCACATCAGCCCCTGTTCAGCTTCATCTTCTATTGGGCACTTAGTCCACCTCTCTGCTCTGATGCTCAGGGTCCTAGGACCACCATCTGCATTGATTCAGTCTCTTATGTCTTTGTTGCAGAGGATCAGTTCAGTTCTGCTTACTCTGCCATCTTGCTTGGACTCTCCAGATGGATGTAGCGTTGGTGATCAATGTCTCTTAGGATTACAGCCATGAAAACCCTGAACAAGACAAAACAACAGGGAGATACATCGAGACAATTTTGCTTCTAAATTATTAGTTTCAGAAACTTGGAAATATACATTGACCACCTTCAGTAGAATTACTGCTCCAAATCTGTCTGAGGTTGATTTATGTAACCTTTTTGGTTAATCAGTGGGCATTTTGTATCATGTATGAGAACTTTTCTTCTGCTTCCTAAAATAATGGGTTTGCTCATTTCAGTAGTTTCCCAACCCACTGGCCCAGTCATTTTATGAAATAAAGACTCCTTTCACTTCGGACCTGAGAGCCCAGTCCGCCTTTGGCTTCTTGATACTGGTGTCTGTGGACCTGTAGTCAGCATCTCTCGGCCTCCGTGAGCTGGACCTTTGCTTAGGATTATTTTCTTAATCGTACTGTGAATACATAGGAAGGCAGAACAGTTCCCATTTCTGTCAGTGGTGTTTTATTCTGGCCTGTCTTTAGCTGTCTGAGTGTAAGATTATAGGTGGAATTAGAGCAGCTGGGAACAGTTACTCAGGCCCCAGAAAGCAAAGCACCAGTATGACAACTTAGACATTTTTTGCTTCCTTGGTCAGTGGTGAAATTCCTCTTGGGTCAAGAGTATAGTCACTACTTTTTTTCCTTCACAAGAATGTGGTAATGTCTCAGACTTGTAAACACCCGTTTGTGAGCTAAAAAAGAACGACATTTGTGGCACCTCAGTTGTCCTCAGTACCAGACAGGTGGCAATCCTTAACCAAAATTCATCTATTTCGAGGACTGCAGTGCTTTCCGTGCTATCAAAGTTATCGGGTCTATGCAAATTTGGACCATTGCTTCTTGGTTAGTCCAAAATACACTTTCTTCAGTTCAAATGTACCATAAACTACAGGGAAAATGTTTCAATCCTTTTAAACCCTTCCTTAAACTACAGGGAAAATGTTCCAATGCTTTTAAACCCCTTTCCTTTTCCTCACTAAAGTATAACGAACAACTGGAGTGATTCTTAGATTCCAGAGTCTGCTGTCATCTCTGACTTTGAACAGGATCTTTTATTTCATTAGTTTTGGTTCTTCAATAAGTAATAAAATAAAATGTTGCTCACTCTATCCCTTCTTTAAAGTCCCTGGGTGACGCAAATGGTTACCTGCTGACTACTACTAACCAAAAGTGTTTTGAACCCATCAGTTACCTTAGAAGACAAGCCTGGCAGACTGCCTCCTAAACTTCACAGCCTTGAGAAAGCAATTCTACTCTGCGCACTGAGTCAGAATTGATTTGACAACTAGCAACATATAGTAGTAATCTTTCTTAAAGTCCTGTGCTGTCAATGAATATATAAATTGAAGTCTTAACATTTTCCTTTTATATTCCTGTCAGAATCGTCTACAGTCTCAAAGAGCACTGCTTCTTCAAGGCACAGATAGCCTGAACCGGGCCACCCAGAGCATTGAGCGCTCTCATCAGATTGCCACAGAGACTGACCAGATTGGCTCAGAAATCATCGAAGAGCTGGGGGAGCAACGAGAGCAACTGGAACGTACTAAGAACAGAGTGAGTCTGGACAGACAGGGAATGGGGTCAGAGTGGGGAAAGTAGGTCAGCCCACTGCATGGCAGGACCAGAAGCTACAGCAGCTCTGCATTCAGGAAATGACTTTCATATTTTTTTGCTTTTTCAATTTTTCCTTTCTTTGATTGGGAAGAAATTTACCCCTAAGAATTAAAGAACATTGGAAATTTAGTTTTAATGAGGAGAGAGAAAAAGACTGAAGACACCTGGATTCTGCATTTACTGAAGAATGCCATATAAGATAAAAACAGTCACTCCAGGTCTCTTTTTCGTGACTCCGAGGAGGCCATCAGCTGCTTCACCATGAAGCTGAACATCTCCTTCCCAGACACTCGCTGCCAAAAACTCATTGAAGTGGACGATGAATGCAAGCTTCGTATCTTTTATGAGAAACGAATGGCCACAGAAGTTGCTGCTGACTCGCTGGGTGACAAGTGGAAGGGTTATGTTGTCCGCATCAGTGGTGGGAACGACAAGCAGGGTTTTCCCGTGACCTGTGGCCGTGTCCGCCTGCTTCTGAGTAAGGGGCATTCCTGTTATAGACCAAGGAGAACTGGAGAAAGAAAGCGCAAGTCTGTCCGGGGTTGCACTGTGGATGCCAACTTGAGTGTTCTCAACTTGGTCATTGTAAAAAAAGGAGAGAAAGATATCCCAGGACTGACAGATACCACTGTGCCTCATCGCCTGGGGCCCAAGAGAGCTAGCAGAATCCGCAAACTTTTCAATCTCTTTAAAGAAGATGATGTCTGCCAGTATGTTGTGAGAAAGCCACTGAACAAAGAAGGCAAGAAACCGAGGACCAAAGCGCCCAAGATTCAGCATCTTGTTACTCCACGTGTCCTGCAACACAAATGTCGACGTGTATTGCTCTGAAGCAACAACGCACTAAGAAAAATGAGGAGGCTGCAGAATATGCCAAGCTTTTGGCCAAGAAGATGAAGGAAGTCAAAGAAAAACGTCAGGAACAGATTGCCAAGAGACGGAGGCTGTCCTCACTGAAAGCTTCTACCTCTAAGTCGGAATCCAGTCAAAAATAAGAAATTTCTATGTGTGACAAATACGTGCATATTAAATCTAAAAAAAAAAAAAAAATCTATATTTGTATGAATCCGTTATTACCTCTCATTGACAAGATAAGAACGTGACAAAATGCACAGATTCAGAGCCACCTATCTGAATTTTTTTTAATCATATATCTATTGGAATATTATACATCTTTCGAAAGCATCATCTAGTTATCAAGACCCTACCCTTCCTATTATTTAGAGCCAAGAGTATTTTTTCACGTCATAAGATAGTATCATTAGCAAGCTATAGACATTTAATTCTGTAGGATAACCATTTACTGTTTACAAATATTATACCAAAATGTGCTAAGACCTGGAATTAGAAAACCCAAAGGGAAGAACACACTCAGCATTTCTCAAGCTGAGGGAACTGAAGAAAAAAAATTGAAGCCTTGACTTGAAATATTGAAGAATTCTATGAGCACAATATTGAATGATGCAGAAAACATCAAAAGAAGATGGAAGGAATACACAGGGTCACTGTACCAAAAGGAATTGTTTGATGTTCAACCATTTCAAGAGGTAGCATGTAATCAAGAGCCAATTATCCTTAAGGAGGAAGTCCAAGGTTCATTGAAATCATTGGCAAAGAACAAGGCACTGGGAATAGATGGAATACAAATAGAAATCTTTCAACAAACAGGCACTGGTGACACTTACTCATCTATGCCAAGAAATTTGGAAGAAAACTACCTAGTCAGTTGACTGGAAGAGATTTGTATTTGTGCCCATTCCAAACAGAGGTGATCCAACAGAATGCGGAAAGCATCGGACAATTTCTTTGATATCTCAAGATAGTAAAGTTTTACTAAAGATAATATAAAAACAGCTGCAACCATACATTGACAGAGAACTTCTAGAGGTTCAAGCCAGGTGCAGAAAAGATATAGAATGTGGATATCATTACTGATGTCAGATGGATCTTGGGTGAAAGCAGAGAATACCTGAAAGATGTTTACCTGTGCTTTATTAACTATGCAGAGGCTTTCGATTGTGTGTATCATGACAAGTTATGGACAGCATTGTGAAGAATGCGTATTCTGGAACACTTAATTGTGCTCATGAGGAACCTGTACATAGACTTAGAGGCAGTTGTTTGAACAGAACAAAGGAACACCGAATGGCTTAAAATAAGGAAAGCTGTGTGCCAAGGTTGTATTCTTTCACCATACTTATTCAGTCTGTATACTGAGCAAATAATCTGAGAAACTGTATTATATGAAGTAAAACATGACATCCGGATTGGAGGAAGACTTGTTAACAACCTGCGATATGCAGATGATCCAGCCTTGTTTGCTGAAAGCAAACTATTTACTGATGAAGATCAAAAGACCACAGCCTTCAGTATGGATTCTATCTCAAGATAAAACAAAAATCTTCACCACTGGACCAGCAAACAACATCTATATAAATGGAGAAAAGATTGAAGTTGTTGAAGATTTCATTTTGCTCAGATCAACTATCCACGGTCATGGGAGAAGCAGTCAAGAAATCAAACAATGTATTGCTTTGGGCAAATCTGCTGCACAAGAGCTCTTTAAAGTGTTAAAGAGCAAAGATGTCAGTTCGAGGACTAAAGTGCACCTGACCCAAGCCATGGTATTTTCAATAGCCTCATGTGCATGTGAAAGCTGGACAGTGAGTAAGAAGTACCATAGAAGAATTGATACATTTGACTTATGGTGTTGGAGGAGAATATTAAAAGTACCACAGGTTGCCAAAAGAATAAACAGATATTTGTTGGATGAAGTACAGCTAGACTTCCCTTGGAAGTCAGGATGCCCAGACTTCATCTCTCATACATCAAATATATTACCAGGAAGGACCAGTAACTGGTGAAGGATATCATGTTTGGTAAAGTGAGGGTTGGAGAAAAAGAAGACGGCCCCCAACAAGATGGATTGGCCCAGTGGTGGCAGCAATGGGCTTTGGCATAGTAATAATTATGAGGTTGGCCCAGGACCGGGCAGTGTTTCATTCTGTTGTGCGTAGGATCACTATGAGTCAGTGTCAACTCAATGGCACCTAACAACAAGGGATCTTGGTATGGTGCTGTAGGATAAGAACTGGTCTGTAAACTGAAAGGTCAGCAGTTCAAACCCACCAGCAGCTCTTTGGAAACTATTCAGGGTCACTATGAGTCTAAACTGACTCAATGGAACTTACCAACAAGGTAAGTTAGATCACTATGGGTAAAAACCAGTAATACTTAGGCCAACTGATGGCTAGGCATATAATCTGTTATCATGCTAAGAGATTCGGAAAATGGAACTCATCTCTTCCTTTCCATATATGAGTTAATCTGCATAGGAATTTTAAAAACCATACAACTGGCCAGTTGTTGAAGGATGTCACTTGCAGATACTGGCCAAGACTGGCCTGAGAAAGTACTGGCTCAGTGTACTTCTCCATACCTAAATCTAAATCAGTGGTGCCCTTCCTCCCATTCAGAGTCAACTATAAAGCACCAAATTCGTAACAAGAGAAGGATAATGCAACTTGCTTATATAAGTTCTATGCTTTTTGTTTTGGTTTGTTTTTTAAACATTCATGTAGATTGGATTTAAAAGTCAAGGAATGGGCCAAGAGAACAATTTACCAAGGCCTCTGGGGAATGGAAGAGAGCAAGTGACACCCTTCCTCTGTCTAGATTAGTAACAATGGATAGGAGAAGGCCCATGGGGTCAATTCCTTTCACAACTAAATTTTAAGTACCCATGGTGAGGGTGGGGTTGGATCCCAGAAGTGGAAATCCACAAGCCTATAAAAGCAAATACTAATTTAAGAGCCTCTCTTGGAGTTTAGCTAATTAAATTCAAATTGTAAATTCTACAAAGTTGCTTCACTGTACATTCTTGAGTATCCAATGCAAAGGGTTAGCTTAAACCCAGAAATCCCCCAAAGCAACCTCAAGGTATGAGTCCTGAGCCTACTTGATGAGTAATGAGTAGAAATGAATCTTGTCTTTCACTCTCTTTTCTGTCTCTACTCAGAGGCCATCGCTTCAATTGATTTCATTTCTTAGAGTTTTTCATTGTATGCCCCTTTATTCCCATTTGTCATTTTAGGAATGTTCACATTTTATAAGGGCAAATCATTGCTGTTTTCTCTTCTCAGCTGGTGAACACAAGTGAAAACTTGAGCAAAAGTCGAAAGATTCTCCGGTCAATGTCCAGAAAGTAAGTTTTTTGAAAATACAGAGTCATGAAATTTAATTTCTCTTAACTGTTAATGCCTTTCACCCAAGAATGCCAAACCTTGTAATTGTTGTGTGCCACCGAGTTGTTTCCGACTCAAAGCAACTCTATATAAGTGCTCCAAGAAGTGGCTGCTGGGTTTCAGCCACCAACCTTTCAGTAAGCAGTCCAGTGCTTACCCTACAGCATCACTTAACAAAATACCTCAGTGATTGATGCCACAGTTTTCCCATTCTCAGCACCCACCAGAGCAGAAGAACTCAAGTAAGGAATAGGGCCCGCTATAGTTAAATATTCTGGGCAGAATCCTGTGTTGAAGGAAACACTGTCTTGACTGGGTCCCCATGAAAAACTTGTCCACTGAAAGGACATTACTTAGAGGAAGCAGCACATGGGAATAACAGAACTTCATATTCCTTGAAACATATGTAAAAAAACAAACTAGTTTTACTACTTGCTTTTCATGGGATGAACTTATTACTAGTAGTTGCTATTAAGTGCCATTAAGTTGATTCCGACCCACAGCAACCCTGTATAGGGTTTCCAAGGAGAAGCTGGTGAGCTTGAACCACCAACCTTGCAGTTCAAATGGCTTTGCAGTCCAGCACATTAACCCACAGTCGACTCATAGTGACTCTGTATAGGGTTTCCGATGCTGTAAGTCTTTATGGGAGCAGAGAGCCTCACCATTCTGTAGAGCAGCTGATAGATCTGAACTGCTGACATTGAGGTTTGCAGCCCAACTCATAACCCGTTAGGCTACCAGAACTACTTATAGGTAGTATGTTGTTTTTACTAAGTGCCAGTGAGTCACTTGACACTAGGGTTTTCCAAGGATCCGTTGATGAGTTTGAACTGCCGACCTTGCAGTTTTACAGGTGCTTCAAAATGATTTTTTTGTTAACTCTTTGCCTAGCTCTGGTTCCCATGTCCACTCTAACTTGAAGTTTCCACTGTTTAGGAACATTTTACTTCTGCTGATTCCATGCCTTGGCTGTGGTTTGTTTCATATACAGAGAGCTAGCTAATTGGCAGATGATTCCAACATGTCCATATACAGAAATCTATCTACATGATAGATCCGTCCAACATTTGCATAAACAGGGAGCTAGCAACATGGCAGACGAGTCCAAAATGTCCATATACAGAGAGCTAACTACATGGCAGGTGACTCCAACATGTCCATATACTGAGAGCTAGCCACATGGCAGATGAGTCCAGCATATCCATATACAGAAAGCTAGCTACATGCCAGATATGTCCAACCTGTCCATATACAGAGAGCTAGTTACATGGCACATGAGTGCAACAAGTGAATATACAGAGAGCTAGGTACATGGCAGACGAATCCACAATGTCCATATACAGAGCCGTAGCTACATGGCAGACAAGTCCAATATGTCCATATACAGAGCGCTTGCTACATGTCAGACAAATCCAATAAGTCCATATATGTAGTGCTAAATACATGGTAAACGAGTCCAAAATGTGCATGTACAGAGAACTAGCTACATGGCAAATGAGTCCAACATGTCCATATACTGAGAGCTAGCTGCATGGCAGATTATTCCAACCTGTTCATATACAGAGAGCTAGCTAATTGGCAGATGAGTCCAACTTGTCAATATACAGAGATCTATCTACATGATAGATTCATTGGGAGGGGCCATGATGGCTCTAATAAGAAATACATTGCAACAACACAGAGCAGCAGGAGACCCTATGCTTGAAGAAAGCCCATTGTACTGCAGAGCAGCAATGGGTGCCTTGATGATTTGGCAAAACCTCAAGAGGAAATTTCATGCAGGGACCATGCTGGCTTTGTAGTTTCTTTTTTTAATTCTTTCATTTTAATAAGAATCAATGTTATAATTAATCAGTATTATACCTGTTATTCTGATTTAAGGAATATACACATTTTTTATTTTCATAGTTTGATAATCAGACATTTTATACCAGTTGAAACACTGCCAATATAGAGTTGAGATCATAATCTGGCACCTGTTTTACTTTAATCACAAACAATAGCCATTGAAATAGCTGAACCAAGATGGAGGAAACATGGAGACTGCTAGGGTTATTGTTAGAAGCTTTGTAAGAACTTGAGAAATTTTAATTTTTGGAAATTAGTGATGTATGAAGTTAATTGAAAACATAATTTGTATTTGAGATTACAATTAGGAATTTAGGTCCCTGGGGAGTAGTAGGATATAGAATGTTTAAACAAATCTTAAGAGATTTAGGAATATCTGGACCTAGTTACAGTTGATAAGTTTCAAAGAATAATGAATAGGAGGTTGTGGGTAACAAAATCCTTGTAAAGGTTAACGTGACATTTTTAGAACAAGAAGGTTTGCTTACAGAAATCAGATATTGTCTAAATATGTAAAGGGGAACAAGGAAGATTTTGATGTTTTTAATGTTCTATATTGCAATGATTAAAATGTATGATTTAAAGCACTACTTTGAAAAGAATGATTAATAGATTATTGGTATAGAGTAGTATAAAAGCTATTTGAGAATCTGAAGTAAATGGAGAAGATTCACCATTCATCCAAGACCCATTGATTCTGTGCTTCATTTCTTTGCCAACGCCACATTTCCCTCTAAGGACCCCTAATAAGTTTGTCGAGGCTGATCCACCACAATTCGTCCAACGTTTGCATAAACACAGAGCTAGCACCATGGCAGATGAGTCAAAAAGGCAATATACAGAGAGCTAGCTACATGGCAGATGAGTCCAACATGTCCATATACTAAGAGCTAGCCACATGGCAGATGAGTCCAGCATATCCATATACAGACTAGCTACATGGTAGATATGTGCAACCTGTCCATATACAGAGAGCTAGCTACACGGCAAGTGAGTACAACAAGTGCATGTACAGAGAGCTAGGTACATGGTAGACTAATCCACAATGTCCATATACAGAGCCGTAGCTACCTGGCAGACAAGTCCAACATGTCCATATACAGAAAGCTTGATACATGTCAGACAAATCCAATATGTCCATATACATAGTGCTAAATACATGGTAGACAAGTTCAAAATGTGCATGTACAGAGAACTAGCTACATGGCAAATGAGTCCAACATGTCCATATACTGAGAGCTAGCTAAATGACAGATGAGTCCAACTTGTTCATATACAGAGAGCTGGCTAATTGGCAGATGAGTCCAACATGTCCATATACACAGATCTATCTACCTGATAGATCCGTCCAACATTTACATAAACAGGAAACTAGCAGCATGGCAGACGAGTCAAAAATATCCATATAGAGAGAGCTAGCTTCACGGCAGATGAGCCCAACATCTCCATATACAGAGATCTATCTACATGATAGATCCATCCAACATTTGCATATACAGAGAACTAACTACATAGCAGGTAAGTCTCACATGTCCATATGCTGAGAGCAAGCTACATGACAGAAGAGTCTAAAATGTCCATATACAGAGACTCACCTACATGGCAGACGAGTCCAACATGTCCTTTTACAAAGAGCCATCTACAGGGCAGATAAATCAAACATGTTCATATACAGAGAGCTAGCTATATAGCAGATGATTCCATAATGTCCATATACAGAGAGCTAGCCACATGGCAGACAATCAAAAATTTCCATATACAGACAGCTAGCTACATGGCAGATGATTCTAACATGTCCATATACAGAAACCTAGCTGCATGGCTTATGTGCCCAATATGTCCACATAAAGAGATCTAGATACTTAGCAGATGAGTCCAAAATGTCCATATGCAGAGAGCTAGCTACGTGGTAGACAAGTCCAAAATGTGCATGTACAGAAAGCTAGCTACATGGCAGATGAGTCCCACATGTCCATATAGAGAGAGCTAGTTGCATGGCAGATGAGTCCAACCTGTCCATATACAGAGAGCTGGCTACATGGCAGACAATCCAAAATTTCCATATACAGATGAGTCCAACATGTCCATAGAAAGAGAGCTAGTTGCATGGCAGATGAGTCCAACCAGTCCATATACAGAGAGCTAGCTACATGGCAGATGATTCCAACATGTCCATATACAGAAAACAAGCTACATGGCAGATGTGCCAAACATGTCCACATAAAGAGAGTTAGCTACTTGGTAGACAAGTCCAAAATGTGCATGTACAGAGAGCTAGCTACACAGCTCATGAGTCCAACCTGTTCATATACAGAGAGCTAAGTACATGGTAGATGAGTCCAACATGTCTATATACAGAAAGCTAGCTACATGGCAGATTAGTCCAACATATGCATATACAGAGAGCTAGGTACATGGAAGGCAAATCCAAATTTTGCATATACAGCACACAGCAGCAGTGACAGCAGGTCTGGGATAAAGATGTGGCAGCCTGCTCCACAGTAGTGGGCATACTCTCTTTAAGGTCCCTAGGTGGCGCAATCGGTTTGTGCTCAACTACTAACCTAATGGTTGGTGATTCGAACCCATCCATTGGTACCATGGAAGATGGGCTTGGTGATTGGTGCCCTTTAAAATTACAGCCAAGAAAACACTATGGAGCAGTTCCACTCAACACAGATAGTTGCCCTGCACCAGAATCGAGGGACTGATAACATTTGTTAGGTGCCTCTGAGTTGGTTCCAACTCATAGCAACCCTGGATAGGGAAGACTTTTAAATCTTTGTGGGAGCAGAAAGTCTTATAACAAAGAGTAGAAATCTTTATAATAGAGACATCCATTTGGGTTGATAAGAAGAGAATAAGAAGTGTAGGAAGATACCTGAACTGGATTTTGACACAGTTTCAAACCCTCAGTATAGGTTATAGCATATGACTGATGGTGATGATGATGTTAAATGCAGTCCAGACAGTTGCTACTCATAGCAACTCTGTGTCGCATTTTTGAGGAGCAGCTAGTAGGTTTGAACTACTTACCCTGTTGTTAGCATTTCAGTGCTTATTCTACAGCGTCACATCAGGATAAAGTGGTGATACTATGTATTCTATTTTGAAGTCAGATTCACTGTTATTTCAGAAGTTGTGTTTGTCATATGTATAGAATTTTTTTTTTTTTTACTTCCCCTTCTAGAAAAGCTGCAAAATTGAGGGAGTAGCTATAGTCTGAAGGCATTTCATTTCTTTAAAAACTTTTTATTGTGAATTGGGTGAAGATTTACAAACAAAATCATACACTTTGTTTCATCTCAATTGAAATCCCCTCCATGCAATAACAATTATTCCACTTCTTCCCTGTGGTTCCTATTTCCATCACCTTCCTTCCCCATCCTTTCTCAGCTTTGTCCTTAGTAAATGTTGCCCTTTGTTCCTCTCTATATATTATCTACTGCTTGACTAAAAATTGAGGCACTAGAGTGAATTCTGTTCCAGACCTGGAATGTGGTCAAGGGTCATAGTCTTCAGTTCCTCCAGTCTCTTTCTGATTTTTTTTTTTTTTAATTGAAGGCATTTCAGGATTTAAAAAGGTATGTTTATGAGGTAGATAGTATTATTCCTAAGTTACAGTTTAAGAGCTTACAAGTTATCACTTGCCAGCTAGAGACCCTTGTAAGTTGCTACTGCTAAGATGGTAACCTACCTCATTACCTAGCCCTCGTCCCAGGTCATACCCCATAGAATTATGAATGAAAGCATGCAAAGCTATTCTAACCTCTCTCCCACTTTGTGTCTCTCTAGAGTGGTGACCAATAAGCTGCTGCTTTCCATCATCATCTTACTGGAGCTTGGCATCCTGGGAGGCCTAGTTTATTACAAATTCTTTCACCATCATTAAACTTCTTATAGAGAAGGACTGAACCAGAACTTTGAGCCTGTGAATGAATGATAATTAGGGACATGAGTTGCTGCTGTGGACTAACAGTTCAAGGATTCACTGTACAGCTAAACTGGGAGGAGGGAGGAAAAACAGAAAACTACTTACAACTTGAATAAACATCAACCAGACAAGAATAATATACCAAGGTAAAAAATGCTGTTTATGACTGCTTTAGATTTACACAATACTCCAGTATACTAACATCCTGTGAACTACAAAAAGCATAAAAGTATTATTATTGATCACTAAAATGGAAGCGAAACTCTACAATCATGAGAATACACAAATGTTCTCATTAAGGCGACCGTGACCTGGCCAACCATTTAGTATCTGTTCCCTTCAATACCTCTGGAATGCCCATTGTAACCACCTCGTGGCACACTGAATTTTCTAAATTCTCACACATTCTTTGCTTTCTGATTCATCTGGTGAACTGGGAGTGGGAAGCTGGTCATAGACAATGTGCCCTCCTTCCCTTGTCTGACCAAAACTTGAAGCAATCACATCCACTGCCAGGCCTGCTGTAGTCTTCACCTCCTCCTCTGAAGTAGCCAACTGAGGATTGACTTCAACAAGATCCAGGGCCGACAGCATCCCTAGAAGAACAAAGTATGAAAAAGCTGTCAGTGAGGGTCCTACCAGGACTACACTAATAGGCACTTACAGATAGCATAAGGAAAGGAGCTTTTTAGAAATACGGGATAAAGGAGAGTCCAACCTGCCTGATGGAAAATGTGTGCCATTTCTAATGTGACTAAGAACCTTCCAGAAGTACCTGCTTTGAATTTGGTAAAATATTAAGACTGGAGCAGTCTCCCACTTCTCACTAGCCAGAGCGCTGTTGCCACTTTTGAACTCTTAATGCTGTATTGCTATCTCCTAAGGAACCACACCATGTGCCCTGTAGCGGAGTTACTACTGAAAACCTTAACTGTCACCTCTGCAGGTCTCACCTCTGAAGGCAGGTTCTAATATCTGACACATTCTACATTTCCCAGAAAACTGACCCACTATTTGGTTAAAGGAAGACTCAGTCATACATTGATTATTTAATCTGGATCCCAGTTAACCTTCTGTGAGGGTTTGGTAATTTCAGAAAAGCTGAGTGAAAGTTCTCAGCACTGATCCTTTAGCTTGGAGTGGCTGAAGAGAAAAAACAATTAGAAGAACCTATCTAGGCTTCCTTCCACCCTTCCAACTCTCTACACCCTGTCTGCCAAAAACACAGAGGTCCCACTTTTCTGGGGAAGTGACCTAGTTGGTTATTCTGAGTGAAGTTAATTTACGTCTTAAGAGTCATCTAAAGGCTCTGACCAAGGTGATGTGCAGTTGGCTCTGTTCAATTCTACAATAACAATAGAGAAGCCACTCCTGTGTGAAGCCCTGCCAAAGACAACAGATGGTGTCTGGTGGAAGACCACCTCCTGTGATTGCCCTCAATCTCTGACCAATAGGAGGGAAGGTTTTACAGCATGAAATCTGAAGACACTTTGCTTGCAAAGAACTCAAGCCAGGCTGAGCTTAATAGCACCTCATGCCTAAGTTAAGTGTTCAGATGCTAGTTTTTGAGTACCTCGTGCACCTCTGATGACTGAACTGCCTGAGTGAGAAGCAGAGTGCATTTGAAAGTAGTGAGTCATTTCCCCCAACTAGCACAAGAGCTTTCCTTGGCAATGACAAAGCAGGCGGTGCACCTGTGTGTCAGTAAGACAGGCTCCATGCATGGGTCTGGAGAGGTAGAACTAAGGCTGGATATAGTTCCCTCCTTTGCGTTCTTGGTGACTCCAGCTCTTTGCCCCTGTGTCCCTGCCTAGTGGAGATAATCACAGGAGCCGTAACTAAGAGTAGCCAAGCAGCTGATGCTTTTGTGTGTCATCTTCTACAGACTGAGAAGCCATCAAATCCAATGAAAGTCACCCCCAGTAGCTAGTTTCATTTGTGAGTCCACATCTATGCCCCCAATCAGCAGGAAGTAGTCAGATGAGAACTTGCCTGATTTCCCAAGCATGGAAAACTAACAAAGGGTGAGGGGAATGTTGAAGCCACAGCTGGTTAAAGTGACTCCATCTTGTAATGAGAGAGGTCATTAGTGCTAACCTTCGTCTGTACTTTGCTTTAGGTTCAATAGTTGAAACCCACCCTGAGGGCTACTAGTGTGGTTAATTTAATAAGCATCATGGAATCAGTTCCAACTCATAGTGTCCCTGTGTAGGGTTACTGAGGTCTCTGAGGGAGCAGAAAGCCTCAACTTCTCCCTACGGAGCAACTAGTGGGCTTGAACTGCAGACCTTATGGTTTGCAGCCCAGTGCTTATCATATAGAGCCATCACACTCCCCCAGGGGCTACAGTAGGAATTTAAATAAAAGTTCCTTAAGTTTATGGGAGGAATCAGCACAACTTATGCAGAACACTGTCAGGGAGTCAGTCTTACAGTCCCCTCTGCCTCCAGGTATACAATATACATTAACCTTGCTTGCTTTTACCATTAAAAAGAAAAGTCATCTGAACCATCTAGTATTTGAGAATACAAATATCAGACTATTTAATAGTATGGCCATAAACTTTGGAAAGTCCAACAAACATACCTAATAGTTTATTGATACCTAGTGACTGAATGGTCTCTCTCAAAAATACATGGTGAAGCCCTAATTCCTGCGCTACCTGTGAATGTGATCTTGTTTGGAAATGAGGTCTTTGAAAATGTAACTATTTAACATGAGGTCAGACTAGTGTAGGCTGGGTCCTAATTCAGTGTGAGTGGTATCAAGAAAAAAGGGAAATGGCTATGTGAAGATGAAGGCAGACGTTTGGCGTGATGCTTCTGTAAGAACACCAATCAGAAGCTAGTAGAGAGGCTTGAAGCAATTCCTTTCCGATGGTGTCAACACTGCTGACAGCCTGATTTTGGACTCCTGGTTTTCAAAACTGAGAGAATATATAGTTCTGTTCTGATAAGTCACCCAAGTCTGTGGTATTTCATTACTGCAGCCTTAGAAAACAACTACATACATGATACGTGCAAGTCATCATACCCATCCTTTGCTAGCAGTGTGCAGTTCAGCACTGCAAAAATGCTGTCAGCAGTCATGCTAATGTAGCCTTCCCATTATTCTCTGCACGTGACTCTGATGCGCTGCCACCTCAGATGATTTGTGCTTCAGATATCCAGGGACTAAATTTGTGCTTTCAGCATATCCCAAGAGAAGTAACCAAGAGAGTTTGAGCTATTAAGAAAATATATTTGCGGGTTGTTGTTAAGTGCCATCCAGTCAGTTCTGACTCAGAGCTACACAGTTTCTGAGGAGCAGCTGGTGGGTTTGAACCGCCAACCTAGCTCTCTGTGGTTAGCAGTTCTCCTGTAAATGAGTATAATAAGCACAGTGGCATGAAAGGCTGCCCTTTGCACCCCTCCTGTATCACTTTGATGATTTTTTCTTATGTTTAATAACTCTTTGAGTAGACATAAATGCTTTTTTTTTAATTCAATACAGGCATACCTCAAAGGTAGAGCAATAACATGAGTCACACACATTTTTAAAAACCACCACCACCAAAAACTGCCATCAATATCTAGTTGGTTCCGACTCCTAGTTACCCTTTAGGACAGAGTAAAATTGCTCCTTAGGGTATCCATGTATATGAAAGTTCATGTTTACACTATACTGTAAAGTACAGTGACATTATGAGTAAGTTTGAAATACTGTGTGAATTACCAGAATTTGACACAGAGACATGAAGACAGGCAGTTGTTGGGAAATGGCACCAATAGACTTGCCCAACCCAGGGTTGCCACAAGTCTTCAATTTGTAAAAAAATTTTTTAAAATGTAGTACCTGCAATAAAATGAGGTATGCCTGTATTACCTTAGCATCCATATTTCAGTACAAACCAGGTGGGGACATGCTGCTAACTAGCTACATCACTCAGTAGGTTGGCCATGTAACCTTTAGCTATAATGAAAAATAGAACACTGCCATCGAGTCGATTCCGACTCAGCAGTCCTATAGGGTTTCTGAGATACTAAATCTTCATTCACAGGAACAGCCAGCCTCTTCTTTCTCCCATGGAGCTACTGAGGGGTTTGAACTGCCAACCTTATGGTTAGTTGTCCAGTGCTTATCCTTCAGTGCCACCTTTTTAACTATAACAGTTCAAGCAAAAACAAAGTCTACAATAACATAAACTAGTACAAAAGATCTGCTACATTTACACTTAGATAGCTAGCAGGCTGCAGGGGAATTGTTCCATACCTGTGTTGTGTATTTCCTCAGTGATATACATGCCTTCTCGATAGGTCAGTCCCCCTGCAACAGGGGTTCCTGTAGCTGGAGCCAGTGTAGGGTCAAATGCATCAATATCAAAACTCAGATGGATTGGCCTTTGTCGTCTAGAAAGAATAAAGACAAAACAAGTCATTTGGTTGTGCTTGGGCATTCTTCCCTTTGGCTGGGACTGCTTGGTTTTGCATGAGTTATGTGTAGCTGGTACATTGTTAATACATTTCTAGGTTTCCTATTCCTTAAAATTACTGAGTATCAGAAAATTAGCTTTCTCCATATTACATAGTACTGCTACTTATTCTTCATGCTTCAGACTGACTAGTCCAATTTATATTTCTACATGCATTAGAGACTTAACATTAGCAACTGTCAGGAGAGGTGGAATTCTTCACTTCCATTTGACGTTGGACTCAGATTAAGCTAGATTATAGTTGCTGTCATTGTCTCAGAGTATAACGGCAGCTGAGTTAAATTCTTTGATTTTATGTCTGCAACCTGCTGATTCTAACTTCAGTTCAGCCCAGGTTTCCAGTGGCTAAAACTAACAGTTCGTGTTGTTAAGTGCCCTCGAGTTGATTTCAACTCATAGTGACCCTATATAGGATTTCCAAGGAGCAGCTAATGAGTTTTGAGCCAGCAACCTTGACCTTGCAGTTGAAACCTTGTGGTCCAGTGCCACACCAGGGCTCCAGAACTAGCATACAGCATCCTTATACCAAATAACTAAATTTCTTAAAACCTTAAGAAATGGCATACTCAAAAAGCAAACTCTAATAAATTTTAAAACATCAAAATACTACAAAGCATCTTTTCAGATCACAATAAAATTAGAAATCAACAATAGGAAGATCAAGGAAAAAAATCAAATGCATGCAAATTGAACAACACACCCTGCTTAAAAGCTACCAGGTAATCAAACCAAAAAATGAAACAAGTTCCTTGAGTCAAATGAGAAAAAAAAACACAATCTACCAAAACCTTTAGGACACAGCAAAAGCTTGCTCAGAGGGCAATTGATAGCAATAAAGGCGCATATCCAAATGCAAAAACCAAAATCAGCACTTTAACCAAACACCTCCAACAGTCAGAAAAAAAGCAGAAAAGTAAGTTTATTACCACTAAAAGAAAAGAAATAAAAGGTTAGAGCAGAAACAAATGAAGTACAAAAACAATAGAAACACTCAAGAAGTTGGCTCTTTGAAAGCATTAATAAAATCGACAACAATTGGCAAATCTAACAAAAGGAGAAGATGCATAAATGATACGGATGACGTCACGACAGAAACAATGGAAATAAAAAAAAGGATACTAGCAGTACTATGAAGAATTGTATTCCAACAAACTTGAAAACCTAAAAGAAATGAACCAATTTCTAGAAACACATGACTTACCTAAACTAACACAGGCTGAAGTAGGAAACTTGAACAGGCGTATTAGAAGAATTAAAATCTCCCAACTAAAAAAAGTCCAGACCCAGATGACTTCACTGGTCAGTTCTACCAAACATTCAGAAAAAAGCTGATACCAATTCTACTTAAAATATTCCATGATATAGAAAAGGATGGAAAACTCACGAATTCATTTTATGAAGCAAGCATAACTCTGATACCAAAACCAGGCAGACATCACAAAATTATAGATCAGTATTCCTCATGAACATAGATGCAAAAATCCTAGCAAATGGAATCCAGCAATATATCCAAAAATAATACATTGTGACCAAGTGTGATTCATACCAAGTATGAAGGGATGGTTTAATATTAGAAAAACCATCAACATAATTCACCATATAAAAATAGGGGGAGAAAAAAATCACACGATCATCAACCGTTTCAGAAAAGGCATTTGATAAAATTCAACTTTCATTCCTGATAAAAACACTTAACAAAACAGGAATAAAAGAGAAATACCTCCACATAATTAAGGGCACATACACAAAACCAACAGTAAACATTACTCTGAATAGTGAGAACCTGAAGTCATTCCCCTTGTGAACAGGAACCAAACAAGGATGTCCTTTATTACCACTCCTATTTGATACTGTGCTGGAAGTCTAAGCCAGAGCTATAAAGCACAAAAGGAAAAATAAAGGCATCCAAACTGGCAAAGAAGTAGTAAAACTCTATTTTCAGACGATATCCTGTGCTTCAAAAATTAGTGGAATTTTGTTGATAGTTTCAGCAAAGTAGCAGCATATGTACAAGCTCAACATGCAAAAATTAGTTGAATTCTTTTACACTAATAAAGAGAACTCTGAAAAGGAAATCAAGAAAACAGTATCATTTACAGTGTTGTTATTTAGTGCTGTCAAGTTGGTTTCGCTGTGGTTCTGACAGTGACCCTGTATACATTTCCTGAGGAATGGTTGATGAGCTTGAACCGCCAACTTTGAGGTTCAAACCAACCTTGCAGTCCAGTGCATTAACCCACAGTGTCATACTAGGACTCCACCATCTATAATAATCACCCAAAAGAGTAAATACTTAGGAATAAATCTTAACCATCAAAACAAAAGACCTATACAAAAGAAAATTACAAAAACACTACTACAAGAAACCAAAAAAGACCTGTATAAATGGAGGAATATACCCTGCTTATGGATAGAATGACTTTTAACATTGTGAAAATGTCAACACTACCCAAAGCAATCTATAGATATAATGCTATTCCAATCTAGATTCCAATATTCTTTAAAGAGATGGAAAAATTAAAAAAACTAAGTACTATATATGGAAAGGAAAGAGACTCTGGAAAGCAAAGCATTGTTTTAAAAGAACAAAGTCGAAAGTCTCTCTCAATTCCTGATCTCAAAACCTACCACATAACCACAGAAGCCAAAACAACCTGGTACAGGTACAACGATCAATGGAACAGAGTTGAGAATACAGAAGTAAATCCAACCACCTACAATAAGTTCATCATTGACAAAGGGCCAAAATGCATTAAGTGGGGAAGATATGGTCTCTTCAGTAAACCACAAAATTCGGAGATCCATTTGCAGAAAATTGAAAAAAAGACTCATATCTCACCATATACAAAAAGGATCTCATTGTGGATTATAGGGACTTAGATGTAAAAGCTAGAACTGTACAGATCATCAATGAAAAATATAGGGGCAAACTTAGGAGCTTTAACACACGGCATAAATACACTATTAAATATAACAAATCACACAGCAGATGCCAAAGTAGATGACTGGGACATCCTAAAAATTAAAGACCTATGTGCATCAAAGAATTTCATCAAAAGAGCAAAAGAACCCACAGACTGGAGAAAATATGTTCGGCAATGACATATCTGACAAAGGACTATTCTCCAAACTATAGAACACTTCAACACCTCAACAAGAAGACAAATGATCCAATTGCAAAATGGGCAAAGGACATGAACACACACTTCGTCAAAGAAGACATTCCGGCAGCCAAGAAGCATATGAAGAAATGCTCACAATCATTAGCCATTAGAGAGAGCAAATCAAAACAACAATGAGAGATCATATTACTCCAGTACTAATAGCAAAGTTCAAACAAAACAACAAATACTAGTGAGGGTGTGAGGTGACTGGGACCCTCCTACACTGCTGGTGGGACTGTCAGATGGTGCAACCACTGTGGAAAGTGATACGGCGCTTTTCCAAAAGCTGAAAATGGAAATACCATAAGACCCAGCAATTCCTCTGCTTATCTATACCCTCAAGAAATAAGAGCTGAAACATGAGTAGATGTATGCACACCAATGTTCACTGCAGCACTATTTATAATAGCAAAAAGACGAGGACAGTATGGTTAAACACGGCTACATACACACAATGGAACATTATGTAACATTGAAGAATAATAATCTGCAAAACACCTCATAACATAAGAACCTACAAAATACCTCAAGCTGGTGGGCATTGTTGTTGTTATGTGCTTTGGAGTCAGTTCCAACGTATAGGGAACCCTGTACAGGGTTTCAGAGGCTGTAAATCTTTACAAGAGCAGAAAGCCTCATCTTTCCCCCGTGGAACAGCTGGTAGTTTCGAACTGCTGACCGTGAGATTAGCAGCCCGATTCGTAACCACTATGCTACCAGAGCTCCTTAGAGGGCATTATGCTGAGTGAATTTAGTCAATCACAAAAGGTCAAATACTGCATGAGACCACTGTTATAAAAATTTAAGAAAAGATTTTCCTGCTAAATGAAATAATCTATGACAGTTACAGGACAGGTGGGTGGACAGGCGGGGTGGGGTGGGAGGGTAAAAATTGAGGTCAATACTGTTAACTGATAGTATTTGGAGTGGATTGCAATCATTATTTGCAATTTGTTGAGTGTGGGACTGATGATTTGTTCTGTAAACCTTCATTCAATTCACAATAAAAATTTAAACAAAATAAATGGCATACCACTTGTGGTACCTTGAATTTACTTGGTAAGGATTATTTTTTAACCAACAATCTTAATTCCCATCAACTGACTGAGTGGGACTATGCAAATAAGGTGTACGACTAGGACTCTACGACTAGGAATGGTTAGTTTGCCATCCCTGCAAGGTCTAAAAGGAGCCATCTCAGAAGCAAGAACAGATGATCCCAGGGCCATCAAGAATGAAGAGCATGAAATCCCTACCTAGAAAAGCAGTGACGTGGAGCAACTGCAGGCATCTAGGCCCCTGTGTGCCTACGAGCAGGAGGCTGGCATGCAGAGTGTGCCCTTTGGACATTTACAGACTGAAAAGAGGAGCTTGGTAACACTTGCCCAAGCAGAGCAGAGGCCTCAAGGCCACATGGCTGAGAGGCCTAAGGTAAGAATGAGGTGTGCCTGCAGTATGGCAGACAAGAGGTGTTCCTGTCTGGAAATCTGTTGCATCCTGAGTTGTCTCTGACCCCATAATAGTGAGTATTATTATGAGTTCTGTGGAGCCATTCAATAGATTGCTGAATCCAGATGTGAGGCAGAGAGTACTGTGGGAAGAATGGTTGATGTCAGAATAGAATAAAGGTTGTGGGAAGGAAGCATGTCTGACTTTCATTTCATAGGCATCAGCCATTGGCTGATACTGAGTTTGATTTTCCTTATCCCTTGAGAAGCCTGAGGAAGTTAGACATGCCCTTCACATGGTTTTTGCATACCAAAGGCAATTGTGACAGTAATCATCCAGACACACAAACTCAGTATTAGAAAAAGTATGGTTTAAAGAAAAGCTGTTCTCAAGAGACTGGCAAATGTGTGCTGTCCATTGGGAGTTGATTGTATTCCCTTTGGGACCTCAAAGTAAACGACAGTGTTGTAATTACTTACTGGCCAATCAGCTGATCGAAGGTCTGTTCCATGACTTTCTGGATTCCAAGGCGATCAACATCCCTCATAGAAAAATACTGGATATCATAGTTCTTTAAAATAAAACTGTAAGATATAAAGGAAGGACTCCTTAGGTTCAAAAGCATTTTTACAAATGCATGTTTCAGATGGCAACAGGTTAAGTTCTGCACCAGCCTTTCAAATGGAACATAAGTGGCTAAAATAGGCCCACTTACTGTTCAGGAGGGTCCACATCTCTCAGACCAATATACACAATATCTGGGGAAGAGATGCAAGGTTTGAGCCAGGAAAATCCTGGGAGTTGTGGTACCTATGAAAAGAAGAATGAAGAGAATAAAAATTTGTGGTCTTATCAGTGTATGCATTCTGCTTTCTCCTACCCACAGGGTATGTTTACAGCAACATTTCATCTTGAAAAGAACAGATACAAATGGAAATGGTACAGAAGGGCAGCTGAATATCACAGTATTGGTTTGCCAAGATGAACACAAAAATCCCTTCTCCTAAAGTAGTCTCAGTTTCTCATTAACTTATCTAAATAACAGGAATATTGCTAATAAGCCATTTTCCACTTCTTTGCACATTATAGACTTGCTTACAGATTAGTTCTCGAAGTATAACCCAGTTGCGTTCTCAAGTTGCTGACAGCCAGAACACAGATCCTGCCAAAAGAATAACCTTTGTACTGTTCTTTTTAACTTGGTCCCTGACTGAGGAGAAGAAAATTCAAGCTCTAGTCTATGCCTGGCATGGACTCCTATGTCTGTGTCTTCTGCACAAATTAGGAAAATATTACCCAGAGGTAATCATGGGTTTCCTTGTTTTCTAGACCAATGGGTCTGAGTGTGCCCAGGCAGCCTTTATGATGTGTGTCCATAGTAACTAGTCAATACCCATCACCACCTTACTTTCTTACCAGACTATATGTTCTCCTGAGAGCAGGGACCATCACCTAAAACCCTAACATCTAGCAGACTGACCTTATGTCTGATAACAAATGAAGGAATGGTAAGCCTTTCTACCACCATCCTTCACAGAAATCTTACTGATAGCCCAATATAACACCTGAATGCCATTCATCGTTCTTGTCACTTCAGCAGACTGACCTTGTTCTGCAGTTCTCTGAGAAGGAATGAAACTGGCTGTCCATGGAGATTTCCAGATGAAGTGGTTAGAGGTGTGTTGATGTCAGCATGGGCATCAACCCATATGACACACAGGTCTGGGCAGTGCCGGGTGTGGCCACTAATGGTTCCAATGGCCAGGCTGTAAAGAACACAGTAACATTCAAGGCCCTCTGTTTGACAAACATCACCAGCAACAAATATCTGCAGCCAATGCGGCTCACACTCTGTCCCCAGGGCAAAGTCGAGCCATCCATCATCCCAGGAACTGCACTTCCCACAGACCAACCTTGGTTTACACAGAGAAATAGGAGGCTCTTAGGGTTCAAAGCTGACAACTGATTATCCCTGAAGTGTGGCGGATGTCACTGCTGCCCCACTCATATCCATTAGCCCTGGTCCCATGCAGGACCTCCAGTATTTGTTCAATGAAATGAAACCCAGTAAAGTAACACTGCCTAGTCCTCTGCCAACCTCACAATCATTATGTTTGAGTCCATTATTGCTGCCACTTTGTCAATCCATCTTTCTGAGGTTATTCCTCTTTTTTCTTGACCCTTTATCAAGCATGATGCCCTTTTGCAGGGACTGGTCCCTCCTGGTGTACTACTACTTGAGATGAAATCTTGCCATCCTCACTTCTAAGAAGCATTCTGGCTGCACTTGGCAGCATTTCTTCTTCAGTCTTTCACTGTCCAGTGTTCACACGCATATGAGGCAAGTGAAAATACCATGGTTTTGATCTGGCACACCTTAGTCCTCAAAGTAACATCTTTGCTTTTCAACACTTTCAAGAGGTCTTTTGCAGATCTGACTAATGCAATATGTCACATGATTTTGCGGCTGCTTCCATGGGGGTTGACTGTGGATCTAAGTAAAACGGAATCCTAAATTTCCATATTTTCTCCTTTTATCATGATGTTGCTTATTTGTTCAGTTGTGAGGGTGGTGGTGTTTTTTTATGTTGGTGTGTAAACCTTACTGAAGGCTGGGTTTTTATCTTCATCAGTAAGTGCTTCAAGTCTGCTTCATTTTTCAGCAGGGTTGTGTCATCTAAGTATCGTAGGTTGTTAATAAATCTTGTTCCAATGGTGTTGCACTCTTCACACACACCAGATTCTAGCACGATTTGCTTAGCATACAGAGGAGTCAGTATGGTTTTTCCTGATTTAAAACCATTCAACAGCCCCTTGTTCTTGATCTGTGTACAGTTTCCTCACGAGCATAACTAAATGTTCTGGAATATCCATTCTTCACAATGTTAATCCATAATTTGTTATGATCCACAAATCAAAGGCCTTTGTGAAATCAATAAAACAGGTAAATATCTTTCTGGTATTCTCTGCTTCCAACCAAGATTCATCTGATGTCATCAGTGATCTATTCACATCCTCTTCTTGAGTCCAGCATGAATTTCTGGCAGTTCCCTGTTGGTATACTGCCATAATTGTCTTCAGCAAAATGTTACTTTAGTGTGACAGTGATGATATTTTTTGATAACTTCC